AGCAGCGGGGGGGGGGGGGTTGGTTTGTTATGTTTCGGGGTCTAGTGTGTTTTGGACGGGTTTAGCAGTTTAGGCGTGCGGGGTTCGGGAATTCATGTTCTTCTCCGTACGTACAGCCTCAGGGAGGCTTCAAAATGCTACGGTCACAACTACCTTTGCCCCCAGAGTAAGAACCCAGACCTTCCAAAACCCCTTAATTAAGGAATATACCTTAATTTATAGTAGGATCCCTAATATGATTTAAGGTATATTCCTTTAATAAGGGATTTTGGAAGGTCTGGGAACCCTAAACTGGCTTAAACCCTATAAACCTTAAACCCTTAACCTTAGATATGTCGAGGGTGTCTTATGTGAGTGCCGCAGTGTAGGTCGTTTGGCCGAGACCTATCCGTGCTGCGGAGAAAGTCCCATTGCACTTTAACAAAACTGCCCTAAATCCTAAAACGTAAACCTCAAACTGCCCTAAACCTTAAGCCCTAAGCCATAAGCTGCCCTTTTGCTTAAACTGTCCTAAACCCTGAACCTAAGACCCTAAACTGCCCTAAACTCTGAACTCTATCCTAAACTGCCCTAATCTCTAAGCTCTAAACCTTAACTCCTCAACGCTCAGCATATGTGTAGCGAAGCACCCCAGGAACCTCCAATGCCTAAATTTCGTTAAACTCCGCACCTTCCGGGTTTAGGGATTATAGAGCTTAAGTCTTCTAGGGTGTTGGGGACTCGGACCTGAGGGTGTAAGGTTTGGGGTTAGGGTTGGGACTAGGGTTGAAGGTTTAGGGTTTCAGGATTAGAGATTTAGTCCTAGGGTTTGGGGATTAGGGTTTGAGGCTTAGGGTTTAAGGTTTACAGTAGTTCTTAAGTCCACCAGGTTCGGCGGAACAAGTCGTTGATGTCCTGCATCATCGGCAACTGTCGTTTCATGGCAGTGCTGTGCACAGCGGCCCTGATTCTTTCCGCGGGGCCCCCCAGCCGGTTCACACTCTAGGGTCTAGAGTAACAATCGTAGTAATCGTAGTAATAGTACCAATTTAATGGCGACAATAATATCAAAAATCATAGGCATCAGAACAACTTGATATGAGCAATAATAGTAGTAATAGTAGTAACAATAACCATAATAGTAGTAATGAGTCGGTTTTGGGTCTGTAAGGGTCACTGTAAGTCGGGCCTTGAAGGTTGATTTTAGGGGCTTGCAAGCGGTATCGAAAGAGCGTTAATCAGCGTTGCTCATGTGGTTTTAGTTAGGAATTAGGACTCAGGGATCTTAGTTGGGGTTTGGGCCTTGGCTTCAGGGTTTTCTGAGGCAGGATCAGCATCCAGCAGACGCGCTGTAGCGTGGCCTCTTTTACTCTGAACCTCTGAACCCTGGACCCAAAGCTGCATCTTCCCTGAGGCCGCCCAGGCCCCGAATGTTATATACGCAAGACAGTGTCGGAAAGTAAGGTATCGGTTGGGTACGGCCCCCACTCAGTAATAGTTGAATAATATTCATAATACAGAAATATTAGGACCTTACCTTAGTAATAGCCCTATTATAGACTCTTACTGTATGGGGGCAGTACCTCAGGTATCGGTACATAGGACCCTCGAAGTTATGGGATCCTTAGCCACTTAAACAAGAAGTTCCTAGGGTTCCCCAAGGGTCCAAGCACCTAATAGTTAATAATCATACACTCTCCCAAATATTAACCTACTATCCTAAATCCAACTACCTTATTGGGTCTTTTGGACCCTTAGGGTTTAGGGTCAATATAAGGCGCTCTCCAAGTTGAACTTCCGTAGAAGGCAGCAAAGATCAACCGAAGACAGCCCCGAACCCTATTTCAGACCTAAGCTCTAATCCGCCAACTCTCGAGACTCTGCAATACCTTTAAACCCTGTGACTATCTTGTGAACCATGATTATGACTGTTATTATCATTATCATTGTTATTATGTGTGTGTATACTAAACACTCCTAAAGCCAAATGTCATTAGCTGCAGACAGGTCTTTCCTCCAGCAGCGACCATCCATCAGCTTCGGTGGTTGTCCATCCTTCTCTACTGCCCTCCCTTCTTCCACGGTGTCCTGGCGGCATTGAAACCCTAAGCACACCTAAACCCTAAACTCTACAGAGCTTTGGGCGTTAGAGTCTTGATGGAGAGTTTTTTGGCTCCCAAAAGTTTTAAGATAGCAAGGATTTTTGTCTCCAGCTTCCTGGTTCCCTGATCCTTTGGGTAGGCCCTTAAGCGCTTTAAGCCAACGCCTGTTCCGAAGTACCCTCGGTCATAAACCAGTAGGAGTTGCAGTCAGGGATGCTTCGCAGTAGCGGCTTAGGGTTTAGAGTCTAATGTAGGGTTTAGGGTTTAGGGTTTAGGGGTTTAGGGTTTAGGGTTTAGGGTGAAGCCACTTCTCCTCAACTCTACAAGCATTGCACAAATCATCCTCGTCCCAGCTTTTAACTCTGTGGGGTTCACCCCCCCTTTTGCAGAATCCTATAAAAACCCTCGCAAGACTGCAAAACCCTCGCAAAGCCAAGCAAGGCTCCAGCAAAGCTGTTATAGCTTCTAGCACAGAGACCAAAGTAACCCTAGCAGTAAAAACAAATAAACACATGTATTCGCAGCCGAAAAATCCTTTCAAACCCAGAAGCTAGACAATTCAAGAATCCCAAGACCCCAACCGCCGCACACGAAATGGCTTGCATATAGAGTTAGGAGCAGCTGTATTAGTATCCCATAGTATCCATCCCCTCAGAGTCCACAGATACACCCCACCTCCTTGAGTTTTCAGAGCACCGAGAATTGAAAAATGGCACGAGCATCCCCTTAAAGCTTTAGTCCATAGATAACATACCCCCAACTTACCAAAGCCGATGCAAGTTATTGAGGCACTTGTGTTGAAACCCACACTTAGATAAAGCCCCGCTGAAGCAATACATTGCATGTATGTTTTAATCAACTACAAAGCCCTAACCCTAACCCCGAAACCCTAAAGATCAGGTGTCATCTGCCTTTTGCTGTCCATGGTCTTCTGCTCGTCAGCAGCATCGCGCGTTCCGTATGTCTTGATGGCTCCTGGGCCAACACTGGAGAGTTTCTTCAGGGTACTTACAAATGATTACTACTAATCTTTGGTTCATATAAATCCCTAAGAAACAACTAAATCTAGAATTTTTTTGCTAGGGTCCAAGTTCAGTATAGTAGGATGTTTAGGCGTGCTAGGGTTTGTGTGGTCTAGGGAGTTTAAGGCACAAGAGCCTACTTTCGGCTAGGATCTCTCATGTGTCTTTAATGTCCGGGCTACAAACGAGCAGGTTCTAGTAGGTTGTTCTAGTAGGTTTAGGCAGGGTTGTCTCTGGGCTGTATTCGGGTTTCATACTCGACTCAGCCATAAGGTTTAGGAGAGCGGGACTGCATCTCCACTTCCACATGCAGTCCACAACGCCAAAGAGATTGGTGCTTTTAGCGGTTACATCCTCGAAGAAACTTTCATGAGCTGAAAAACTCCGAGACCATGACACACCTACATCCCTGCTCTACATGCACCCTGCAGACCCACCTTATCCAACCCGTATGTTTAAGTCCTAATTCCCCCCCCCATTCCCACAAAAGCAGCAACAACAACGGCAGCAACAAAAACAACAGCCTTAAACCCTAAACCCCTAAACTCGAACCCCTAAACCCTGAAACTTAAATCCTAAACCCTAAATCCTAAACCCTAAATCCCACAATGCGCAAGAGAGGCTCCCCTGGCAGCAGTGGTGACGGTGCTTGAAATGGCCTTCCTGATCAACCAGGCTTGGTCTCATAGGGGTTTAGGGTTTAAGGTTTATATAGGGTTTAGGGGTTTATTTAGGGTTTGGGCTTTTGGGGTTGAGGGTTTAAGGCTTAATTAGGGTCTAGGGTTAGGATTAGGGGTTTAGGAGCTTTGAGTTAAGGGGGTTGTAGTGTTTTTGGGTCCCTCGTACTGAGGTTTTTGTTGCAGAGGTGTTGTGAAGAATCTTTGGAGATTTTTCGGGACGGAATGCCATAGGGTTTCTTGGTGTCATGCACACTGTAGATTCCAAACCCTTACAACAGTCACCCCAACCCGAACCCTAAACCCTAAACTCCGAAACCCTTATAAACCCAAACCCTCAACTCTAAGCCCTAAACCGGCTTTCAGGTGAGTTGGAGCCTGCTGTTCTACAAGCATCTGGCCTGAACCCAAAAAGGCTTTGCTCTGTTGGCTTCGGGGCTTAGGGTTTTATTGGCTATTCAAAAAAGTTCGGTGAAGTTCTGAAAGGTTTATGTTACGGATATGGGGACTGTCTACAGGTGCTATTGGATCTTAGGGTTGGGGCTTATAAGGTTCAGGGTTGAGACTTGTGAGCTGATCTTATAGGGGTTTTAGTTTCTCATACCCGCCCCATCCTGCACGATCTGTGTGTGTGTGTGTGCGCGCGTTTGGTTCTGTGATGGCATTGCATTAGAGCCGTTAGAGGCGGACCAACGAACACCGGGGGCACTTTTCGGATGTTGGAGTGTCAGCACGCTTCGTGCTGGTGTTGCTCTTGCCCAGCGTGCCCAGAGTTCGCCACGATGTTTATTCGCCCGGAGCGCTCCATCCCTCCCTGCTCTCCTTTTTTTTAGGGTTTAGGGCTTAGGATGTAGGGTTTACCTTCCTGACTCATGCACGCTTCCACATATCCCATCAAGCGCTACAAGCCTCGCTGAGGCCCAGAAACCTTAAGTTCATCGAGAAGCAAGGCCCCTCGAGGCCTTGGCAGCAATGAAGCCCCTGTAGACCTTGCAACGAGAATCGCGCTCTCTGAACCCTGAACTCTGGGCCCCTAATCCTGGACTCTAAGCCCCTAAACCCTTCAAAACCCTAAACCCTAACTCCTACAACAACAAGAATCCCGAAAGGTATGTTTGCCTTCGATGGATGTTGGAAGCGGCCGACGGCATTGCTGCGCTGCGCCCTGGAAGAGCGACTCAGAGAAAAGAGGCTAATGGTTCAGGTGTTTAGGGTTTAGGGTTATGCTAGGTATCGATTTGGGATAAGTTTCACTTTCACTTATTGTTCGATATAGAGCCGTAACTATACGATTGAAATTTGGGACCGCTGAAATCGACACGTAGTGCAAGTCCAGATTTTGAGGCTTAGGATTCATGGTTGGGTTTGAGGTTCATATGGGTGGGTCCCTTTTTGGGTCCTTATTACAATACCGCACCTAATATTTAGGGGTTCCAGAAAGGTACCATAATTTTGACAACCACCCATATAGGGGAACTACTTGCCGATCGATGGAGCTTCAGGAGACCTCTTTTGGGAGCTTCATGGACAGTACTTGGAGGATCATGGGACTTAATAACTAGTGTTATGATTAAGGTAACTGTACATATAAATACTGATGACCCCACTTAATGATCCTCCAAGTAGTAAGTTGTTGTTACACGAGGTTCGAGTATGCTCACTGGGGTACTAACCAGGAAGGCTACCATTAATGTATGGAATTAGGCCCCAACAGAACATCCTCATAATGGCTTTGGGGGCCTAATTAAAAAGACCATCCTCATAATGGGTTTGGGGACCTAGTTGCATAATAGTAGTATGTATGAACCCTCTGGGTAAGTAGCTGTAACTATACTTGCTTGGCTGGAACCTACTAACCCTGGACACAACCTGAATGCCAAACAGACTCGCCATCATAAAGCCCTAAACTCTAAACCCAAGCAATCCAAGCAGGAACCTTAAGCCCTAAACCCTAAACCCCACAGCCCGAAAAGCCCTAAGCTTGAAAGAAACCCAAGGAGGAACCTTAAGCCCTAAACCCCTAAACCCGAAGCCCTAAAGGCCCTAACATGAAGAGAAACCCAAGAAGGAACCTTAAGCCCTAAACCCGAAAAAACCCTAAACCCTCGAAGCCCTAAACCTTAAAAGAAACCCAAGAAGGAACCTTAAGCCCTAAACCCCTAAACCCGAAGCCCTAAAGGCCCTAACATGAAGAGAAACCCAAGAAGGAACCTTAAGCCCTAAACCCGAAAAAACCCTAAACCCTCGAAGCCCTAAACCTTAAAAGAAACCCAAGAAGGAACCTTAAGCCCTAAACCCCTAAACCCGAAGCCCTAAAGGCCCTAACATGAAGAGAAACCCAAGAAGGAACCTTAAGCCCTAAACCCGAAAAAACCCTAAACCCTCGAAGCCCTAAACCTTAAAAGAAACCCAAGAAGGAACCTTAAGCCCTAAACCCCTAAACCCTAAAAGCCAACCCTAAAAGAAAATCCAAGAAGGCGAAGCCCAAGGCTTCCACCGAAACCCACCTGAACCCCGAAACTTCTAATCTTGCACCTTAAATCCTTGAGCCCCTGATCCTAAACCCCTAAACCCTAAACCCGAACCCAATGGGGCTTTAGGGTTTAGGGTTCAGGGTTGATAAACCGCACAGGAACAGGAGTAAACGGGCTTATCCACCCTTACCAGACCTGACACCTCATCGCATTTTTATAAGCCCAAACCCTAAACATCCTGCAGCTGTTCAACCCATGAGCCCTAAACAGCGAAACCCTAAATCCCGTAAAGCATGATTTGAAGAAGCGCACCCAGGTTGTCCTCGCACCTCTGCATGATGCGTGCAGAATATGGGCCTTCTCTTGGCGGTTCCTTCGGGACGCGGTGCGATTCTCAGCGATGGGAGCTTTTCATGAGATTCGTTTTAAGGTTTTCCAGTGCGCTGCAGGGTTTTACTTGTGTTCTGTGTGGATCTTGTTGGGCTTTAAGTTGGGTGTGCTGGGAGGATCAGGGGACATGATAGGGCAAGTTTACAAGTCGGTTAGCTATGGGCAGCAAACCCTTTTACCTATTAGTAGGGAATGGGGGAATGGGTTACCTGGACTGTTACTGGGGATTGTATCGGGACTACTATAGGGATCCATTCGCCCCTTCCCTACTACGAACCAGATAGTAAATAGAAAGCCTTCAACCCAACGAGCCGTTGGCCCAAGCAAACCGGTTCATCTTGACCCGACCCCTAAGCCAGTGAAGCCCGAAATCCAGTAAACCTTACATCCACCTATCTCGTGTCTTTGTTTTGACAAACGAGCTGCTTTTGTCGGCTAAACCTTGATGGCCCATCGTAGAAGCACACTTACAACACAGCCTGAGCCCAACCCGCACATAACCTTGAACTGAAGCCCCTTAAGTGAGCCGAAAATGCTGTTTAAACCATAAAGCCCCCGAAGAACTCCTGGCTCGTGGCCTCGGGTCCATGTGCCGAGGAAATTGAAATTATGGTGATTTTTGTATTGAAATATGACGGAACCCGAAGGAATGTCTCTTCTACCCCTTCAAGCCTTTACAATTTACAATTTCCTGCGGTCTAGGATTCAGGATTTCCGGTTTAAGGTTCAAGAGTTTAAGATGTTATGTAGGAATCTGATTAAGAATTCCTGGGCCTATACTCCCAGAATAGTAGGATACATATAAGGAGCCCTAATCAAGGCCCAATGTTTCTTCATCAGATTCCTACATTAAGGCGGGAGGATGAGGCTTACTGGCTTCGGTCCTCTGGCTCTATCGTTCATTTTTGGCCGTCTTGTTCCGATGGTTCTGCTGTGGGAATATACCTTAGAAGGTGCCCCCACCCTGTGACAGTGGCTATAAGATTTTATATGGGCCCTATTATATTCCTATTATACCACTATTACAGGGTGGGGGCCCCTTCTAAAATATACCTGAGGTATCCAGGTAGGGTATCTGGCACCATGCTTGACACCGCAGGTTTTACCGGAAGAACTGACAAGAGGGGGATCAAGTTCTCGGAGAGCAGGTAAAGCCGACATGCAATCATCTGAGTAAGAATGTAACCAAAACCGAACTTCTCGCCATGTATGACATCGTCGCTCGCTGACTCTAAACCCCAAACCTCCAAGCATCCTCAGGCCATTGGGATCGCGATCGGGCTGGCATGCTTGGCGATGGCTTGCATACCCGGTCTCAACTACCTGCACACCCTCTTCCTCTTCCGCACGCGGAGACCCAAGGAAGAGGCCAATTCGGGTCAAACTATAGTGGTTCTACAAGGGCTCAATACTAGTGTCTTATGAGGTTGGTCTGCAAGGTCTTTTTCAGGGTCTAATGTAGGAACCTGATTAAGAGACCCTGGGCCCTATATAAACCCAAAATAGTAGGATTCATATAAGGAACCTTAATAAGGGCCCAAGGTTTTTTGAATCAGGTTCCTACATTGTATGTTGTAGCTTATGTGCCAGCAAGGTGTTCGGAGGGTCCAGCTCCAAACTCTAAACAGAACAAAACTGGACGTCTCTCCAACCAGCACCCATTTTCGGATTGCGATTCTCGTGGCTTCTTGAAGCATAAAAACAGCAAGCATAGGGGGAACCTCTAAAACGGTATTAGCACCGACGCCGAATACACTCCTGCACATTAACCCCTACATAAATTAATGAGCGCTCTACTCGGAAGCAGGCCATAGGAAGCCGGAGGCTTAAGTGGGTAGACTCAAATGAAGACATTAAAGCGCAAAGAAACCAGTGAGTCTCCCCAAACCCGCATCGAGCCCACACCCCCAACCCACAAGGCCTCCCTCAGCCCGTAAATCCTTAAACAGAGAAACGCAAAGAACCCTTAGAGCTCGAAACCATCTAACCAACAAAACTCGTTCAACGCGCATGAGAAACCTCACCCTAGATCCTACACCCTACTGTGTCACTATGTGGCCCTAATACAACTAGAATGATTTTTTTGGGGGTACACGATACTTGAGTTGTGTGAAGACTATACAGGGATACTGTTAGTACCTACTCCGACCTCTCCATCTAATAACCTAAAGATTTTTCCATTAACTTGTACTTAGCCCCTCACAAAGCCGATAGACCGAACCCGTATCGGGCCTTCGCGAAGCCTTTATATAACAAGCCCATATCAAACCACGCTATGCCCCAAGCTCTCAGAACCGTAAACCCAACACCCCAAACCCTTCGAACCCTAAACCCGAAACCCCAAACTCTAAATCTTCTAAAATCCCTAAGCCCTCAGAACCCTAAACCCGAAACCCGAAGCCATCCTATAGATCCCTCATAGTAAAGCCATGAAAGACCCCGTCAAAGAAAGGCCCTATATGGGTAGTTGTCAAAATTATGGCACCTTTTTGGGGTACCCGTATTATAATAAGGACCCCAAAAGGGACCATAATTTTTGACAACCACCCAAATTAAGCCCTTACAACCTGACTCAGGGCTTGGCAGAGGAAGCGGAAGACTCCACCGCGGCTCTCGTCCACGAAGACCCGCCGCAGGGCAGATTGGGGGTTTGCTTTTTAGGGTTTAGGGTCGAGGGTTTAGAGTTTAGAGTTTAGGGTTTGGGGTTTCAGGGTCTAGGGTCTAGGGTTTAGACTTTAGGGTTTAGGGTTTGGGGTTTACGGGGGTGTTCGGAACAAGGTTTTGGGCTCATGGTTTAGGGTTTAGGGTGCGGATAAGTTTTGGATTCAGGGTCGCAGTTAGAACCAACCCCAAACCTTGAACCCAAAACCCTTTGGAGAAATCCCATTGTAGCCTGCTGTAGGGACCCTTAAACCCTAAGCAACAAATGACCCGCGTTCATTGCTTTAGTCATAGGGACCCTTAGTTGAGTAAGGGGCGGGGGTAGGGGACTTTACTTCCTTAAATGGGCCTTATTGGATCCATGTTTTTTGGGCATTACGGCCCCCTACCCCCCCTCCCCCACTCCTCTAAGGGTCCCTATGATTTAGGAACTTATATTATATTGGGTACTGCCCCCATACAGTAAGAGTCTATAACAGGGCTACTATTAAGGTCCTAATATATCCATATTATGAATATTATTATTCAACTATTACTGAGTTGGGGCCCGTACCCAAAACCCTAACAAGGACCCCCAGGTATATACCCATAGTATAGCCATTATATGCCCACTATATAGCCCATTATAGGGTAGGGGTCCCCATTAAGGGTCCCTCCTTTACCCTAAACCCTAAACCCCTAAAAACCCCTTAAAGGAACCCTAAAGATCCCTTTAAAGGAACCCCTAAGAGCCCTAAATTAAGGGTCCCTCCTTTTCCCCTACAAGGTTTGCAACGCCGAGGCTTCGGGTTCGATTCTTCGGGGCTCAGGGTTTCGCGTTCAGGGACCCAGAGACTCCAATGCCCCTTAATTAAGGAATATACCTTAGGGTTCCTTTAAAGGGATCCTTAAAGGGATCTATAGGGTTTAGGGTTTAGGCGATTCTAATACCCCTTAATTAAGGAATATACCTTAAGTTATAGTAGGATCCTTATATAATGATTTTCAGGAATATTCCTTAGTTAAGGGGTCTCTGGGGATTCAGCGGGTTTTGGGGTTCAGCGTAAGGGGTTTTGGGGCCCAGGGTTCAGGGGTTAAGGGTTTAAGGGTTTACTTAGGCTTTAGAGCGAGCAGGGTTGCGGTCGATTCATGTCTCGTCTCCTCAGGGCAGCAGGAGAGCTGAGCTCATTCAAGGTGTTGTTGTCTATTCACAGTGCTTTGGCACGTTCGAGGACAATATACTCCGGCCCCACTCACAGAGGCCTTCTGGTTGCGTGAAGGAAGGACGGTGGCAGGCTGGCCCAGAAAGCGGGCGGCAGCGTAGCTCAAAGCCGTGTTCATGCACTGCAACAAAGTACGCAGGACGTTGAACTCTCTGGTCTGCGTGCAGTGCTATTTCTTATGCAAGCTTTCGGCTGTCTCACAGCGAAGAAGCTTCAGCAGATCCTCCAGCGCCACGACTTGGGACAGGACTGCTCCTGCCCGGCCTTGGTGGGCCCTGCGCCTGCTGGGCCAAAGCCACAGTGCAGCCTCTGGGGAGCGCAGCGGCGCCCAGATTCTGGCATGGCATTGATGGTTTTGTTTTGAAGTTGAGCATCTCTCTCTGGTAGGTTTAGACCTTTATTTTAAAGTAAGCCCAAGTTTAAAACAAGATCCTACATCCGTTTGCTTACTTCGCTGGAACTGAAGCTTTCTAGCTCCTGCTCGCGTCGTTCTTGGCTACTGTGCATCAGTCTGGGTTTAGGCGCGAGGGTTTAAGGTTCAGAGTTTGGGGATTTAGGCTCAGGGATAGTGATGATAGTGGATTGCATATGGCATCGGCTTCCGTTAGCCTTGAATCGCCTGTCATTGAAGATGTGTCTTGTATGTTGTTCCTAGGCCCCAGCCTTAAATCCCAAAAGCCTTAAAGCCTCAACACCAAACACAGCTCTAAACCCTCAAACCTCAAACTCTACGCCTTAAACCCTGAGGCCCTAAAACCTGGAGGACCCGGTAATGTTTGACAAAGGTTTATAGACTCTGCTTAGCCCTCATGTGGGGGGGGGGGGTATTCTTTTGCCTTCTGCAGAAGCATGCCGGTGCTGCGGAAAACTAATCATTACAAAGCTCAGCTAAGATGGATAGCTGAAAGCGAAGCCAGACATTTCTGTGATGCACAAGACATTCATAGCTGTACTCGCCTCCGATATTTGTCCGCATGAACCTCCAAACCCTGTGTCAGCATATTCAACCCTAAGCTTCCTAAACCTAAATCCGGCTAGAATGCTTATACAACCCTTTACAGAGCCCGTCAAGGAATCCTTCGTTAGAACTCCCGAAGCCGTCCCAAAAAAGTCGAAAAGTCGAAAGAACCCTCCCCTAGAAACACCCAGGTTGGTAAACTTCTTCCGCCGCTTGGTTCGGACAGTCGGGGCTCCTATGCCTACTTGGAGGATGATGGGACTTAATAAGTGGGTTATAATTGGGATTATAAGTCCCCTAAGTGGGGTTATCTTAATTATAACCTACTTATAACCTTACTTACTAAGTCCCATGAGCCTTTAAGTAGCAGTAGAGTGGGTAACCGTTAACCTGTTTGGGGTACTCCCCTCCCTTTGTGAGACTTTCCGAAAATGGGGACCCCAGTATAGTACCCTTCATAGTAGGATCCAGGATCCCTTTTATAAACCCCAAATAAGGTACCCCTAGTTTTCGGAAACTCCCTATATAGCCCCAGTAGACTCCCCCAAGAGGTCAACCTTTATTCCCCCAGGATACTCGACAAGTATGTCCAAGAAACCCCATCTGCCCAAACTCACCCTAAAGCCCAAAACGTCTACTCCTCAAAGCCTAATCCCCCAAACCTCTTAATCTAAGCCCCTTCCTACAACGGTTCCTTTAAGGGGGATCCTACTATAGAGCCCCATAGTGCCCTTTACGGGGGACCTTGTTATAGAATGCTATAGTACCCTTTAAGGGTTCCTTAACGTGTCTTTCCGGGGTCCTCTAAGGGTTACCATAAGGCTAGGGCTTTAGAGTTTAGAGGTTTAGGGTTTAGGGGGTGGGTCTTGGGGTCTTTGAGAGTAGTCTTAGGGTTTCTATGAGGGCACTATGAGTATTTTGGCTCCACTGGACCATAGGAATTTAAAGTGGTTTGTGAGATGGTGGGTTCTGGAGGTCTCGAATATGGCTTGTCAGAAGTTGTGTTTTCCCCCACGCCCTGGGCCCGGGTTTACTTAGGGGCTGAGTAGGCAGTCTTTAACCTATTAGGGCTTATTTCATTCTACTCTACTTCAAAAAAAGTTAACCTGTTTTGGGCGAGGGTACACAGACATTACTTGGAGGATCATGGGACTTAGTAAGTATGATTATTATAAGTACCTTAAGTGGGGATATAAGTAGCTATAAGTACAGTTACCTTAATCGTAACCCTAGTTACTAAGTCCCATGATCCTCTAAGTAAGTTTAGGGTTCGGCTTCAGTGACTCCATAGACTGAAGGAGCCGGAGTGTGTTTATCGCGGTTTGTTTGAGCTTTCATGGAGTTACGTGGGTGGTTGTCAAAATTAAGGTCCCTTTTTGGGGTACCCTATATATTAAGTGCCGTATTAGATGAAGGATCCAATAATGGACCATAATTTTGACAACCACCCATGTATGTTCCATTGGTTTGGATTTCAGCCCCCTGCAATGTTATGACACCTTTTGGGGACCAAGGTATTTAAGAACCACGTTCCGCCTGATTGTAATGAGATTCTAAGCAAATGCCTGAAGATTTCCGTATCGGGGTTTTTAGGGCTTAGGGATACAAGCCTTTAGGATCCTATACGATTGGGTAGCTGCATAGACCTTCATCTGTCGTTGAGACTTACAAATCTGTGTAACATCATGTACAAACTAGGGTGTCTTTATGGTTTCGGCAGTATTGAGCCTAAACTCCACATCCTGTTGCGGGTTTACTTGGAGGATAATGGGACTTAGTAAGTATGATTATAAGTACCCTGAGTGGGGATATAAGTAGTTGCAAGTATAGTTACCCTATTCATAACCCAAGCTGCTAAGTCCCATGATCCTCTAAGGAAGATTTAGGACAATGAACCTTTCAAGACCCTAAACCCTAAACCCTAAACCGTAAGGCATCCACCACCCCGAACCCACAAAAGCCGAAATCCCTGTAGCCATAAGGCCTACACCTAAACTCGAAGCCGTGGAGCACAGCCCCCCCCCCCCACAAGAAAACACCGGATGTAGTACCGTAAACGCTAATTATCCCGAAACCTCCAAACATCTCCTCAACCTTGAATGCTAATCCCTGAACGCCGCAACCTAGACGGCCTCAACCAAACTGAAACCCGAAAGGTTCCAGGTACCTTTCTGTACCAAATTAAGAAAGCGCCTCCTAATATCGAAACCCCAGAGTGTCTTTACGGTCTACACTATATCTATACGTATATACATATATATATATATACATATATATATATATATATATATATGTATGTATATATATATATATATACATACATACATACATGCGTAGATATTCTATGGTAAACATATATATATATATATATATATATATATATATATATATATATATATTCATATTTATATTTATATTTATATTTATATCTATTAATATACAGATGTGTGTACATACATATTATATATCTGTATATGTATTTAATATATGTATAATACAGATGATAGATATATACATATATACACACACATCATGTTTATAGAGTACACATATAGATAAAGATAAGTACTTATGAGTCTGAAGGTACTTTTGCGCCCGAGTGCAACATCGGGAACATCAGCCCCTCCAGAGCTTCCGGTGCCCTGCGCACCAGCAGAAGTGCACCAGTGATTTCCTGAGCAGGGTTTAGAAGGCCCCGGTACTTTAATACAATATGATATAACATAATATTGTATTAGACTATATAGTCAATACTCAAATATAGTCTATTAGTTATCATAAAGTATGATATGAGATAGTTTGATTCTAGTGTTATACAACTTAGTATACTAAGGGGTTAGGTTTGAGGATTTAGAGACAGCGATAGGTGCCCAAATGCAATAACCGTGAAGCCCGTAATTACTTGCCCGAGTTCACACATCTTGACACCTTGATATACACAAAAATGTCAACACCGATGCATGTAAGTACATGTATGTATGCATGTAAAGACAGTGAAATCTCAAGAGCCTATCCCTAAGCCGTTTGAAGCCCTAAGGCCTAAACTGCGCCCCAGACCTAACCCTAAACCCGAAGCCCCCAGACCCTAAACCCAAGTCTTAAGACCCTGGACCTGCGTTGCCAACAGCTGAAGCCCTAGGTTCGTGAGTGGTAGCCTTTTGTCCGGTTTGTTTTGGGGTCCCCCCTACCAAAACCGAATAGTTAAGAACAAGGGTACTCTTATTTCGAATTATGAAGGGGCCACTCAACAAACTAGAGCCAGATCCTACACATGAGACCCTCTAAAACCTCGAGCCATCTCAGTTCTGAAAACCGTGAATCCTACAGCCCGCAACCGTAAACCTTACCTATACCCTGGACCCTGCAAGCCTCAGGGCCTCAGGTTGTGAACCCCATTCGGGGAACGCAACTCGCTGCACCTCGAGGGTCCGGGGACTTGGTAAGTAGTCATTTTATAGAGTGGTTCGTACCATGACCCCAAGTCGGATCCCACTTGGGGCGCTTATCACTCGACTTTTTGACTACTTACTAAGTCCAAGCACCTTGTTTTCCCCTGCCCATGTGGCTTGGCACTTGGCCAACGCTGTGACTGGGCCCAGCATGCGACAAAGAGGCGCAGTCTTCACGTCTTCATGCTTAGATTAATTACCGTTTACCTTCGTTACCTTCATTTTGCGTGCTGCGAAAAAGTTCCGCCGGTGCACGCTGCAGAGTCCTGCCGGAGAGCCATGCGTCCCACGAAATGGTGGAAGCTCGACCCTTGTTCGCAGACAGGATCGTCTCGACGAGGGCGTGTGCAGCTGCGCTCTTAGAGTTGTGACAGCGTGAACGAGTCTCCATTCTGCCGATGTCGGTGTCAAAGCAGAGATTTGTCGGAGTTTACGAGAATTAGGGGTCCCCTTTTTGGGGGGCCTTATAATAATAAGGATGCTTCTTTTTCGGTGATTTTTTTAGGGTCATATTTTCGGAAAACTCTAATTTTTCCAGTCCTTGCAACTCACTCGGACACGGCGGGTGCCCATGCTCTGCTCAAGCCGCTGTCAGGCTTGCATGCACAGGCACTTCGCAAAGCTTTGCTCGGGTGCCAAGCTGTTGCAACATTTCACGTGTCTCTCAACCCTAAACCCCTTAGGGCTTATCTTTCCGAACAGAGGTCCCAGGAATTCTCGCTGTACCTGCAGCTGGAAAGAACAAAAGAAGCAAATTAAAGCTAAACCCTACACCCTTTACCAATAGGCCCCATAGTAGTGCCTTTTTGGGATTACCTCATAGATTTCAAAATATGAACCCCAAAAAGAAAACTACTTTGGGGCCTTTGGGTAGCCAAGAGCCGGGCATTTCCGGGTTCCAGATCAGGTTGAGAAGCCTTGGGAGCAGATGTTTAGGGGTTAGGGCGGCATAGGGTTTGGGTTTTAGGGTTCAGGGTTTGGGTTTGGGGTTTAGGGTTTCAGGGTTCAGGGTTTAGGGTTTGGGGTTGGGGGTTTAGGGTTCAGGGTTTCGGGGCTAAGGTTTGGGGTTGAGGGTTTCGGGGCTAAGGTTTGGGGTTGAGGGTTTCGGGGCTAAGGTTTGGGCTGTTGGGTTTTATTCGTGGCTGGCTGGCGGGCAAGATCCTACTTAAAGGCTCATGGGACGTATTAAGTAAGGTCATAAGTAGGTTATAATTAGGATAACCCCACTTAGGGGACTTATAACCCCAATTATAACCTAGTTACTAAGTCCCATGATCCTCTAAGTAGACCCTAAACCCTAAACCCCTATAGATCCCATTATAGGGAACCCTATAGATCCCTTTTAAGGAACCCTTATAGATCCCTTTTAAGTAGTTGGGGGGTCTAGCCCGGAGCCTCGAAAGTTTACCCGAAACCCTGAACCCCACAACCCTCCCTGAAAAGCCCTACACGAGTCCGCAAGTCCTGCATGCGTCCTTCGGCCTTAAAACCCGTATACCCCAAGCCCCCTACATGTGATTTTGTAAGGGTCGTGTGTTGGGGGGGAAACGGAAAAACATATATTCGAAAGCCTGTTAAAGTTATGCAGGCGAAAACAAGAATCCTAAACCCACCGCCAGCAACCACCACAAGGAACGGGAGGCCAACCAGACCTTTCCTAAGGTGACGTCTGAGGTGCATGTTCAAGTCGGGGTACTTTGTGTGCAGCCCAGCAGGGGAGCTCCACAGGGGATTGGTTAATGCGACAAAAGTGTCATCCAGTTCCTATTACACCTCGTTGACACCGCCACTTTCACGAACTCGATGGGGTTGCAAGTGGGCGACTTTGGGTCCAGAAACCGTGCGTCTCGCGGTCCAGATGCCGCCGTGGCACATCTGCGCCTCTACAATGTACCTGGCTTCCTGGTGTCTAAGGGGCGCATATACCGGCAGGGAGTCCTCATTGCCGTCATCTCACTCATTGGGCAGCATCTCTGTGCGGAGAAAAACAAATCCTAAATTCCCTAATTACCCAAGAAGCATAAACCTTGAGCCCTAGAATCCTTAGCCTAAAAGCCCAAAACCCTGAAAAGCACAAGGAAGGACTTTGACTGCAAGACCCGGCTCGCGCTGAAGCGGATCTTGAGGTTGAAGGCGGGCATGCTACCACTATTGCCAGAACAACAACTAGTGCTACTACAACGACGACGACGACTACTACTACTACTGCTACTGCTACTGCTACTGCTACTCCTACGCCTACGCCTACGCCTACGCCTACGCCTACGCCTACGCCTACTCCTACTACTACTCCTACTCCTGCTCCTGCTCCTGCTCCTGCTGCTACTACTACTACTACTGCTACTACTACTACTACTGCTACTACTACTACTACTACTACTACTACTACTACTACTACTACTACTACTACTACTACTACTACTACTACTACTACTATACTGCTACTGCTACTGCCACTGCTACTGCTACAGTGCCACTGCTACTGCTACAGTGCCACTGCTACTGCTACTACGACTACTAAACAATCTGTCTATCTGTCTATCCATCTATCGGTCTCCCTATCTACATCCAATCCTGGCCGTGGTGCCCTCCTACCTAAACCCCTAGGTAGGTAGATAGGTAGATATGTAAATAGATCGATAGACAGACAGGCATGTAGACAAACATAGCTACATAATAGATGGGCAAATAGATAGATAGCTTGCTGACTAACTACACACATAGATAGCTTCGATAGGTAGACAGACAGATAGAGAGAGACAGGTCGGCAGAGAGATAGAGAGATAACTGGCTAGCTACATGGACAGATGGATCGATAGTTCGGTAGATAATCAGACATCTACACAGTTAAACAGACAGGGAGAGACAGACAGTCACCACGCGTCTGTTGCGATCAGATCTCCCCTTGCACCACTCACGAAGTCTCCCAACGACCCGTAGGCTTCTGGCCCGCTTGGGACATGTTTGAGCATAGGGTCTTGTGGTTATGGGGTTGAGGGTCTTAGGGCTTGTTCTTCGGCAGATCTCTGCTGGCCGTCTGGTTTATCGCTGCATGTCTGCACTGTAGCACGTGCTTCGGTACTAAACCGACAACACGATCGAAGTTACCGAGTCCGAGCCTGAAACTTAGGGGTTTAAATTCCCTAAACCCGAACCCGTAAACAGCTGGACGTGGTCGATATTCGCATGCAGCATGCCAGTACGCCATACAGCTTTGTTTTTTCTGTGTTTTCTGATCTCAGCCTTCTTGTAGGAATGACATACTTAATCACATACTATGCTATGCAATAGGAACGCTGCAGCATTACTACTATTATTGTTACTAACCCTTGTCAGTAGCAGTAGTGTTCATGCCTTGATTAGCACTTGTATTAACTACCCTTCGTTTTGCTATCGCTATTCATCTTTATCTTCTTAGGATAATGATTGCTCTTATTATTCTTATTATTCTTAGTCTTGTTGTTATTATTGTTACTGTTATTGCCAGTAGGATGATGTTTGTTATGATTGCATCAGCCTTCTTCATATCACTACTATTCTTATGGTTATTGCTACTATTGTTACTGTTGTCCTGACCTATTCTTATTCTGGAAGCTTCTGCGAAGTCCGTGAGGTCGCAGGCGGCGGAGGCTCCCTCCGGACGAGCTCCAAGGCCGCGGCCCCGGCGGCGCCGGCGGCCGCAAAGTCAGCCACAGGCGCTGAGTCTTTAAAGGGATCTATAGGGCTCCTTAAAGGGATCTATAGCGCTCCTTATAATGGGATCCATAGGGTTTAGGGTTTAGGGTCTGCTAAGAGGATCATTGGACTTAGTAACTAGGTTTGTAAATAAGGTAACTATACTTATAATTGCTTAGAGCCCAACTTAGGGTACTTATAACCACACTTACTAAGTCCCTTGATCCTCCAAGTAGGGTTCAGGGTTTAGGGTTTAGGTTAATTAGGGGCCTTGAGAATTAGAGTGCGGCTTTTGGGGGGTATATTATAGTTACAATGAGACCGACCGCCCCCCCCCTCCAAGAACATACTACAGGTAACTACCGTACTAAGGCTCGTATATTGAGGTTTTTGGGTTGAGGGTAACCCTAAACCCTAAACCCTAAACCCTAAGCCCTAAACCCTAAACCCTAAACCCTAAACCGAGGGGAGGTGCAGGCTTTGAGGCTCATGGGTTTAGGGCTGAGTGTTTGTGGTTTAGGATTCAGGGTTTAGACCCCAAACCCTGAACTCCT